CTCTTGTTCTCGTTTGCTCGTTTCCAGCTCCCTGTTCTCCCCCTGCCGCGTGTTTCCCTCCCCCCGAGGGGCGGCCACCCTGCTGGGGACTGAGGAGACAGACAGCGGAGACGCGGGGACTGCGCCCGCGGTGCCCGCAAAGGTTTACTGAGTTTCCTGTTGACGGGGAAAGGGGCCCCCAGGGGGGGGGGGGGAGTAGCCCGGGTCCCCCGGGCCAGCACAGTGTGTGGAGGTGACAGGTAACGGCTGAACAAGCGAATGAGTGGGGCAGTGCAAAGAGCAAGTTGTGAGACGGCCGCAGTTGAGTCTAACCACCAGAGAAGATGGCAAAGGCAGTTAACTCTCTGGTCTCTGGACAACCATCCAGTCACAACTCTTTCAAGCGACCACACACAGGCATTTCAGCTTGTAGGAGAGCAAAAACCCGTCTTGAGTAACACGATGACAGGATGAACAGCTAATAACAAAGCTGAGTGTAGACTTGTAAGTGCAAAGCCGTCTTCCAATGAGAGGGAATAAGCGAGACAGTTCAAGTTCTACGAGGTGACGATGGAAAGTTTTAGATAAAAGTCAGCATGCTGATCCCTTAGCCCCCCCAGTTCCTGACCGAAAATCAGGCAAGCATCTTCCTTACAAATGTCACATTATAAAAGGTGTCCCTACTTGGACCGGGAGTAGAATGAGTGCATGTGTGTGTAGAACAATTTCAACCACAGAGCAGGTTGCAAGAGGCTGCTTTTTGTGCCGTAGGAAGAGGGAAGGAGCAGGTACGGCCGTGCGGTGATGGGTACTAGACTTGGTAAAGCAAGTGCACTTCCTCCCATCGTCAGGAGGTGACCACTGGGAGACAGCGCGTGAAGGACTGAGGCGCGGCCGCAGGGAGAGCACAGCTGAGCACGTGCAGGTCTGGCGTGCGAGAGCCGCGTCTGTTAACCAGGGGCTGGCGGCTGCCGACAGGGAGTGCGGACTGAGTCACGTGGGCAGAGACACGGAGGCCTGAACGCTGGTGCCGCCACCTCCCTTCCCCTACGCCCACATGATGTTATATATCCTGAGTGTCTTTAAATTTACAGTACAAGACAACACCTAATAAACAAACGGAGGAACTGACATGTTCTGAATGCCCACAGTGAACCCGGAACTTGGCTGAAGCAGTTTCATGACAATGAAGTTTCTACTAGTTTATGAACGCCCCTGTTTAAATAAAATGTAAAACACTGTCCCAGAGCAGGCACCCTGCCCCTGTCGTTCTCGGAGCCACTGATCGGCCCCGGCCGGGAGGTACTGCTGGGACCCCAGGCCAGTCACTTCCTGTCTTTAGGTTTCAGTTTCCTCGCCCATAAAATGAGACTTTCACCAAACACGCCACAGGGGGCCTCAGTGTTCTGTGTGTGCCTGTGCCGGTCACTGTAACCAGGCAGGATCCCCCGAAAGGCCCTCTTTCAGATGCTCCGGAAGAATTCCTACTTGGAGGATAAACGGCTATCGCTCTGGGAAGTAGGCATCATGCTTGCTCCGTGGTTAAACCAGTAAACGAGCAGTTTTGCAGAAAATGTGCACACATTGCACTGAGCATTGACTTTAAAGCTCTACAGACAAAAAAAATCACGTGACATACTCGGCTTAAACCGCGTATCTTACTTTAGGTGGAATTCAGCAATCATGCAAATTAGAAATTCTTATTGAGAGGTTTTCTAAATTGTGAGATAAGTGTTATCACAATTTAAAAGGGAGGAAAGCAAAAGCAACCCACCATTATTATGCAGATGACTTGCCTACAAAGAGGCAATTTGATTAGCTAAACAGATACATGCTTCAGAGACAGAAAACAGGGCTCTGCCTGCTGAGGAGCACGCCTCCACCCCAAAGTCACCAACCAAGGCTTGGGTTCCCGTTCAATGCACCCGGGACCTCGAGGGCGGGTGGGGAGGAAGGGGCCGCATTCGGTTAGTTATGGGGTGAGAACAGGAAGAAGACTTCATCAGGGTGCTTCAGTGAGCCCGCACACCCAGCAGGAGGCCCGTCAATTCCACCTGATTCTGGCGAGAATTCGAGGCGTGGTGACGTGGCGAGCTCTCCCCCCTGCTCTCCTCCAAGCCCTCCTGCGCCCCGACTCCCACAGACTGGACATGATGGGAAGTGCCTCTGAAGAAAGTGGCTTAGATTTACCAGAATCACCAGTCATTAATCACTCGCAACGTTCATGTGTAGAAACATCCCATTTAGTGTTTCAGAGAAACTAAAGGGATGGCTAGGATTTTCCAAATGGGGTCTATGAGGCCGTCTTATCTGTGCACGGTCTGCATGTGGCGATGACTGTAACAAAAATGCCCTGCTCGGCAGTCTGATAAGAACCTTCAGGAATAAACTGTTGGACTAACACAGGATCAGGGGTGTCTGGGAACACGGACTCGACTCACTGGACAGCACGATTCCAAGCTCTCAGAAGCTGCACTTGAAGCAGCATCCCAGGGAGATGGACCACTAACCAGCTCTCAGCCTTCGGTTCACCTAAGAACAGTTTTAAAAACCTCTGCTGCGTGGCACTTAAAATCATAACCTTTACTGTGACTTTAAAACAGGCCAGCTGATTTGTGTAATTCTAGGAATCACTTCTCAGCTTCATGTAGCCTTCTCTCACAAAAGGAGCTAAGACGTGGAGCCTCGGCCAAGCCTTTCCCCGGAGGTCTGTGTGGATCCTGGCACCATCCCAGCCGCTTTCCAATGAAGTAACTGATGCCCACGCTCCCTCCACTGCAGAGCAAGGGGCACTCAGCCAGGGCGCGGCCTGGAGACATGCCGGCCCTGCGTCCCTGGGAGGTGTGCGCACTGAAGCACCCTGGGGTGCGGGGGGAGGAGGGGGCGGGCAGGAGGGGCGATGCAGTCACCTGCTGTTGTCACGGTCGAGACATGGAGAGGTGCGGCTGCAACAGAACAGACACTTTAGCACAGAGAAGGAGTGGGTGAACATCAAGAAGGAATCAGAGGCGACTCCTGACTGAAATGCACTCATACCCCACCCGTCTCCATCGGAGGAGATGGAAACAGCCACGAGGCATCCCTCTGCCCACATGCTGCGGGGCTGGGGTGGGCTCCGAGGCTCCCCATCAGGGCCCTGGGGCTCGGGGAACCCTGGGCACCCCTGCAGCCCCACTCCCTGCTTAGCACTGGCCATGGGGCCCTGCGCACAGCCAAGTGTCCAGGAGACCACACACCATCAAAGGCATTCAAATGAGAGGGACAGAGTCTGGGATTGGTGACCACGGTCAATGCTTCCTACGTCATGGCAATGCCCTTTTGGCCACTGCGGAAGACATGTGAACACAAAAGGCACAATTTAAAGACTGGCTTCCATGACAAGCCATGACATAGCAACTAGGAGGCAGAGAAGGTACATGAATTACCTACTGGCAGGGAATGGAAGCTATGCAAGTCTGAGCACTCGTTCAAGGCTGCCGCCTTGCGGGGGAGGGGGGCTGCTCAGGGTGCCCCCTGCTCGGGGCTTACCCTGCTTGCTGCTGTGGCCGGGGCTGCCCCACTCCCCAGGCATTTTCTCTGCCTCTGGCTCACTCGTGTCTGACGTACAAAAGGATACATTTATAGGACCAGAAAGCCAACCTTACAAAATAGTTGTTTAACAACTTAAACATCGTTTTCTTCATCCAAAAGAATTGACCTTCATGTACCTTCAGAAAGCTGGGGTGTTTGGAACCTGTGAACCACCAAGTTAACTGCTCTGCACACTTCACCATTGATGCTGTCCAAGGAGCAGCAGTCTCGGCTCCTGGGATGTAACTACCACTCCCCTGAGCTAATGTCCTCACGTGCTTTTTAATGGACTTTATTTCTGGGCCTAGTCTTAGGTTCACGGCAAAATGGTCTTCAATATGTTTTTCTGAAAAAGACCAACTTTTTAATGGAGTTCTGGCTGCTATATCTTGCAGGATAACATGATGAATTGACACTTAACTGTTGGCATGTGGCTAGCATTGAAATCTAAAAATAAAGGCCTTCGGAATCCTATTAAATGGATCACAAAGCTGGCCGTGACCAAGCACGGAGCCTCACTCACTGAGCGCTTGGGAAATGGAGAAGAGCCGTGAATTCAGGCTCGTGCCCAAACCCTGCCGTGTAACCTCTGGGATGCTAGCAATGCCTGCTGGCCAGGTCCTGAGTGAGTAGCAAACTCTCTCAGGAGCAACAACAGATCTTACTGCAGCCCTTCCTCTGCCAGTGACTGGCTGTGCTGGGTAGTCAGATGGTTTTAGCCGCCGACACCTCTGCTTGGGTGGCCGTGGACACGAGCCACTAGAGACAGGCAGAGGCGGAAGGAGATGCCAACATGGCCTACTGGTGCAGCTGTGTCTTCCATGAACCTAGAGCCCTTGTGGGCTCCATAGGAACCACATACACCGTGAGCTGCAGTGCACAGAAAACCTCCCTTAATTACTTCCTGTCAAAAACATTTCTTTTCTAACTTTTTGGGCAGATTTGAAGTGGCTTAACAATTCACCCAAGAATCTCAGTTCCTTGAAAAATACATGTAAAAACGACAACTCAGGAACCCGGTGTGGAATGAGTAAAACTGTAACAATCACCCTGGCCAGTTTGGCTCAGAGGGCACTGGCCCTCGGACTGAAGGGTCCTGGGTTCAGTTCTGGTCAAGGGCACACACATGGTTTGCAGGCTCGATCCCTGGCCCTGGTTGGAGTGTGTGCAGGAGGCAGCTGATCAATGTGTCTCTCTCATATCCATGTTTCTCTGTCTCTCCCCCTCCCTTCCCCTCTAAAAAATTAATGGATTATCAATGAAACAATATCCTCGGATGAGGATTAACAGCGACAAAAAAAAAAAAAAACACCCCATCAAAAAAAAACCGAAAACAAAACTGTAAGAAACCAACGTTACATGATATGAAATCATGAACGCTATTCGTGTACATTAACATGGTGACAGCGTTTAAACACCAGGAGCGGCAGCACCGAGCGATCAGTGGGAACCCCGTGGGGCCAAGTCCTGTGCTGTGTGTTTGTTCAAATGCCACAGCACAGGCCTTACTAGATGCCCGGTTGCCTGGCAACAGTAACAGTGAGGCCCACACCACACCAGGACCAGGACTGCAGGGGGCGGTCCTTTAGATGATTTGGAATACATTTTGCTTAACTCAGGTGGTTCTCAACCTTCTGGCCCTTTAAATACAGCTCCTCATGTTGTGACCCAACCATAAAACTATTTTCGTTGCTACTTCATAACTGTAATGTTGCTACTGTTATGAATCGTCATGTAAATATCTGATATGCAGGATGATCTTAGGCGACCCCTGTGAAAGGGTCGTTCGACCGCCAAGCGACCCACAGGTTGAGAACCGCTGGAACTGGTTTGGGATTTGTGAGTGATCTGGATGGTGTGTGGGGAGTGTGTAAATACTGACGAGAAACTATGGAGTCCTCTTCTTTCTAGACAAAATGCTAACTGTATAAGAACTATGTGCCCCCTAAAGTCCTCTGTGGGATCCATAGCATAACGTGCATCTTCCAGGTAACGAAGGGAAACGCTGACCGTCTACCTGACGTGCCCAGGTCACGTGCAGAGTGAGGCGGGGACCGGGTCTGGTGGGGGGGACCGGGTCTGGTGGGGGGACCGGAGTCTGGTGGGGGGGACCGGGGTCTGATGGGGGTGCCTCCGAAGGGAGCCTCACATTTTTCCTTCCATGGGCTGTCTGCCAACTTCACGTCACACACAGGTGTGCTTCTTCCAGGCAGCCTGTCTCACTGAGCCGTGCTCCTGAGTGCCTGGCACACGGCGTGGCCCTTTGCAGATCTACGTCTCCATCATAGTCAGAGCTTTGTTAGGTCAAGATGGTCCTTTCTCTCAGTTTGTGTAAAACACACATATCTGGATACTGGCACTTGTAGAAATCACTCCACAGAGACGCCGCTGCGACTGGCGGGGCCTGGCATGTTAAGGCTCTCGGGTGATTCTAATGCCCAGCCGGAGTTTAGACTATATGGTCAGCGATCACCTTTCAAGTTCACAGAAGAACTGGTTTATTAGAGACCAAGATTAAAGACCCTTATCTCACTAAGTGATTAATCTTTAACCACTGAGGCTCTAGGTTTTGACTCTTGTAAATTCGGCCATTAATAGTAAATTACATTGTGCCTAGCCGGTGTGCTCAGTGGTTCAGTGACGGCCTATGAACCAGGAGGTCGTGGTTCGATTCCTGGTCAGGGCACACGCCTGGGTTTCAGGCTTGATCCCCAGTAGGAGGCATGCAGGAGGCAGTTGGTCAATGATTCTCTCATCATTGATGTTTCTCTCTCTCTCTCCCTCTCCCTTCCTCTCTGAAATCAATAAAAATATATTTTAAAAAGGTAGTACATTACATTGTGCTTAAAACAACCCTTCGCCCCTGGGCTGGGGATGGCCTGGGCTGCGCTGGTGCTGGGATCTAACCTACCACCTTCACATTCCAGGGCCAATCTCCTTTCTTCTCCTCCTCATTGTTCAGAAAGTTGGTAGCAGAATGCAACGTTATGCTTTTTGAATAACGAATAGGTCAGATGTTAATGATCTCATTTTACACTTAGAATATGTAAGTAAATTGGGATAAGGTTTAATTTGGTTTTTATTCCCTTGCATAATTCTTGCATTAGGAACCTGCTTATGTTTTTTTAACAAGGAAAAGAGTACTTTGATTATTTTCTATGTCTATGGACCTACTTTTATAGTCTATGAATCTTTAGTAGAAGCTTAGACTATGAGGTGCACACTTTGTAACTACAATGCCTCTGAATGCCTTCCTGGAAAGAGACTATTTAAGAATAATGGCAACAAGGAAGGTCCACAATTCAAATCATGCTGGGCATTACGGATAAGGAGTTTGGAACCATTTAAGCCAAAATGTTTGATTTAGTTAGATAACATATGGGTAGGGCTTTAAAAGGTGGTTAAGTGAGCAAATATTGTAAGAGTTTACATATAATTATGAAATTACTAGATGAATAAAAGTAATAGAATGAAAGGGAAAATGCAACTGCGAAGTGCTGCCACTTACAACTCCTTCCAGAACTGATGGTCCACGTAACTGAGTTCCTATGCCTTAGGACACCTTCAGTAGGTTACCATCATTAACTCAAAGCTCTACGTTTTAAGAGAGCGGATGTGAAAGTGGCATTTCTCAGTGGCTGCTGGCTCCGGGCAGGTGACTGAGCTGACAGGTGCCCTCCAGGCCCTACTGCCTACTGCACAGGACTCCTCCTTCCATCTGTGTAACTCCAACCTCCGGGAACATCGCTTTCAGTGCACTCACTCGTGGGGAGAGGCATTTATTACCTGGTCAGTTCACCTTAGTAAATAAAACTGTCCAGAGTGCAAACACTCCTGCCCTTCCTTTCAAGACGTCTTAAAGCCCCGGCAGCTGCTGGTTAGTGAGCAAGCTGTTTGACGCAATGCTACCAGTTACTTTAAAACGTCAGCTTTTCTATGTGGAATTCAACCCTTTCTGCTGGTTTGTCCACGCAGATGGGGCCCATGGTGGACAAAGCTGTGTTATTTGCAAGTTTAAACGGAGGTCACGTCCCTTGTAAGCTGGCCGCCAGATACGCCACCGCACAAAGCTGCTGCTGTCCGCTCGTCCCTTCCCTGATCTGGACACAGGACACCACGACTCACCCTGAGTGGATGGGGCTGGAAGAAAGGGCCACATTGTCCAGGTGCTCGGGGCCCCAGCTGAGGCGGTAGGCGTTCCTCTCCGCCTCCTTGGCGAGCGCTGACACCTGGACACAAAGGACACGGCTCAGGGACACGGCTCTCTCCCTTCCCTCCGACGACAAGGTACCCGCCTCAGAAAGGGGCACCTCAGACAGTGGCACTGCCTGGAAAAGCCCCTTTAAAATGTTATTGATGCTGGATCACTGTCGCTGTCTTTGAAGAGGGTGGGTGTCTGTGTACCCAGCCAGCCTGAACTCTAACATCCTACCCAATGCCAGTATTTCCTAATAAACGACATCTTTTCTCTAGATAACCACCTAACACGGAGAGACGCAGGTGGCCGCGCCGTTCATCTCAGGCCTCAGACGGACGCACCTCCCCGACCCATCCTCTAATGGAGACCTCCTGGAGGAGTCGGTCTTCATACTCAATCTCCACAAAGGAGCTCAATAGCTGGAGAAACAAGCAGTACATTGTTTTAGAAAAACTCCGCTATTGAGAAATCTAGGGAACACTTTCCGTGTTTTAGGAAAAAATCCTCAAATCTCTTACCCTGGCCCATGACTAGCTCAGCTGATTATTTTTTTAGACGAAAAGGCTTTCTCTGGCTCTTTCCTGCAGCCGCTGATGCTCCCTCCCTCCCCGCCGAGGGAACACGGTGCGCCCGCAGTCACGTACCTGGTGGCTGGGGATCACAACGGTGTCGTCGATCATGGCGCTGTCCCTCAGGTAGGAGGCGTGGCTCAGGGTGTGCGACCTGTCGGAACTGAAGGACCGGAGGCTGGCAGGTGAGCAGAGGCCGTGGTCACGCGCCCACGGTGGGGCAGGGCAGGGAGGAGGGCATGGCGAGCCGGGCAGGAGAGCGGAGAGAGCGTGCAGTTAGCTGCCGGGACCTTCCTGGGGACAGGCCGTGGTGCCGGGAGGACGCGGGCTCTGTGCCACCCGTCCCCGTCACCCTGAGGAAACACACCCTCTGCCCGGCTCAGCCACCCAATGGCAGGGGCCTCAAGGGACCAGGAGTTAGAATCTGACACTCCTGATCTGACTCCTGCTCTCCCCAGAAAGGTCTGAGGCCGGCAACTGGCGCTCACAAGCCGCCGGCACACAAATTCACGCAGGAAATAACTGCAGGGCTGATCTCTAACATCTGAGCCACATGTCCATCGCCCTGCGACTGGGAGGTGTCAGGGGACAGCCAGCCCGAGGCGAGAACAGGTGACAGGCAGGTTTCCATGTGCCCTCACCCGTCCTGCGCGGCGGTGACAGGGCCGGGAACCCCGGGAGGCAGGGACGGGGACAGCCGCATGCAGACTTCCTGAGGAAACAGCCCCTGGCTGTGTCCCGCATGGCCACTCAGAGGCCAGCACTGCCCCTCGCATGTCCTGTGCTGCGCGCAACGTCGCGGGCGGGCGGGTCGCTGTGCGATGACACAGGCACACAGAAAGCGTTTCTAAGCACCGACCAGACCCAGACACGTCAGCCAGCACAAAGCAACTGCCGGGGGGAGACCGGGGAGGCTGGTTCACACGGGCTCAGGCCTGGACAGCTAAGGCTTTTGTGAGATCTGAATGTCAGAGCTCTGAGCCATATGCTCCGATGTGAGGAGTGAAAACTGACATTCTCAGAGATGAAGTTACATTCCTTCCCAGCCCACTTGCATGCTCAACTGACTAATGGGTGGATAGCTTCAGTGAGCGGACTTTCATGCGTGTCAGCCCAGGTCTAAAGATCTACATTCAAAGTATCGGCCCACAGCCCACAGGGGGCTGAGCCATGGTCCCGCGGTGTCTACAGACGCCAAGGCGAGCACCCTGCAGCCGGCAGGTGTGGCCTCGAGGCGTGTGGAATTGTGAACTAAACGTCGAGCTGGCCCACTGTTCAGCAACTGTTCTCATTCTGCAACGACACCTAATTCTGTAAGCCACACACTGACCTTCACGAGGTGTCAGCCGAGCCAGCCCGTTGTCTCTGAGAAACTGCTGCTGGGCGGTAGTGTGTGCGGGGGGCGGGCTTCTCCCCGCCCGCTCCAGGCTGTATGCCCGAGCATTACAGGTGTGACGTGACACGAGTCCGAGGAGGGGACTGCCTGACCCGAGCGTTTACACCCACACGGACCACGTGTTCCTGCTAAGCTGGAATCTAGGCCGAGTGTGAGAGGTCCCTCTTACGCTTCCCAGGCTCCTGGTGAAGACAGAGGGTCTACAGCCCAGGGCAGCAGGGCACCACGGGGCCACTGGGGCTCAGTCCTGGGGGCAGGGCAGCCCCACTTACAGGTGTGCCTTGGGTTTCAACAGTGCACGTTCCATAATGGGGTGCAGGGCACTGGGAGTGACCTTAGCCTGGCCTTGAATTGGGGGTGGGGTTAAATTACTGGGGGGGGGAGGGTCTTTCATTTCAGCCAATCTTGTCTCCCTTAAGGAATGGAATAACTTTTTCTCCTGCTTTAAACTGCAGACACTTAAGCTTCGCATCAGACTCTCCTTGCTCTGGTGAGAAGTGGGCCAAGGGGGAGACAACACAGCGGGTGCCTCCGGAAGTGCCAGGGCCGTCCTGGGCCCCACCAGCCCCCGGGGCTCCGCAGGCTGACCTGCTCATCCATCACCTCTCTCCACGGCTTTGGACGGCGAAGACCCAGACGGCGACTTCCACGGTTACAGGCACTAGATTGACAGGCGGGCGGGGCCCCAGGCTCAGGGCGGAGGCCCACTCCCCACAGCAGGCGGACACACCCACCAGGTAGGACTGGCCCTGACATGCAACCCTGGGGCAGGGGCAACAGGACGGCAGGGATAGGAGCAGACCCCACGGTAAACACAGGGCCTCGACCAGACCTAGTGACGTGGCTGCTGCCATGGTCCAACGTAGACAGAGGCAGCTGGGACTGGATTCCACTCCCAGGGACACAGCACCACTGGCTGTCTGTCCACTTTAGGGGTGAGGGATTAAGGGGCTCATTTGGCCCTTAAGAAGTGAAGCCACATTCTGCCGTCACCGTGGCCACCTGCCTAACCCAGGGTCAATCTCCCCGCTGGTATGCACCCCAAGGAGCAGAGGGGAGGTGGTGTTATTTTTTTGTCTTTCTTGAAGCCCCAAGAGGAAAGGAATAGAGAGAGAGAAGAAAGGAAAGGAAGAGATGAGGTAACAGAACCACAAAGAGAGATTAGGGCGGGGGGGGGGGGGGAGAGGGAGATTAGGATATGTGGACAGAGGGGGGGAACAGCTGGAAGGAGAATGAATCCACTGGAACCATCTGTCTGCATGTCTCTACCTGTGGGATTTTATTCTGGCTCACTCTGCATCCTATAGTGCTAATTATTGAGGCAATGCTTATGGTTTCGAATTGCTCTTTTGTTCTATTTAGTTACAGACACATTGAAGTGAAAAAATGTTAAGTATTCCAATAGCAGAGAATTATTCTCTCTGAAGGAAAAAATGACCAGCACAGGAGTCTAGAATAATTCACATCTTTGGCCCAGAAACTCTTCCTTTGATCTGAAACATTATAAACAAGTTAAAAATAGAGCGGCGATGTTTTTTTGCATTAAGTCAGAGGCCGCAGTCTGTGGTGGATGAGTTTCCAAGACCATGGCATGGAGCCACAGGAGTGGCCATTCCCACCTGCGGGTCGGCTAAGACGTGAAGGCTTGTTATGACCTAAACGCAGACTTCCCTCTGGCACGCGGCTTTACAGACACACATTAGGTCGTATCCAAGTCCATTTGGTCCCCTGAGAAGGGCAGCGATGACAAATACTTCTTAGACGTTCAGTCATGGTGTCCTCAAGCCCCACGGAAGAAGCAAACACTGACAAGTGTGCATGTGTTTGCTCTCGCCCAGGGAGCAGCTTCCGTGGCTCACTGCCGGGTAGTGCTTTACACTGAATCTGGGTAGCATTTCAGCGTGAAGCACAAATAAAATAAAACGGAAGCAAAACCCAGTCGACTGTGTTCTCATCGCCGCACATCAAAATTGTGGGCCTATTTTTAGTCTTCTGTGGGCCCACAGACACTTCAGGCATCACCACGACCTTTCTATCATCTCAGCTGCACACGGGCTAATTGGGTTCCTTGCTGGAGCCACACTAACGCCCCCCCAACCACAGGGGGCGCTGTGACAGGTGAATTCATGCTGGGCTTGTTCTAGTTTTCATTCTATTAACACATGTACCTTCCAGCCCAAGTAACTACTCAATACATAAAAACCCTAATTTGAGAATACACCCACAATTCCAGAATGGAAGCACCCCTGTGAACACAGCACGCACACGCACATCGAGCGGGGAGCAGGGAAAGGGATGGGCCGGGAGGTTATGCTGCCAGCCATGGGCACCTACCTGGGCACGGCACTATTGGAGGCACCAAACAGAGAAACAACGAGAAGGTAAATGGTTACCGACAAAGGTAACATATTGAATTGTCTAAGCAAAACAAAGAAACACAGACAACTGTGAACAGAGCCACTGCCTGCAGTTCCATCCGAGACGGCAGGTGGCGGCCTCCTGCTCTGGAAAAGCAACTGGGGCTGAGACCCCACGGCCCGTCTCCTACCCCGTCCTGACCTGCTGACCCGCGTCAGTCTAAGCAGGATGGGCCAGCCTCGGAGCCCGGCTCTATGGAAAGCATCGCTCTATTCCTCCCAACCCGAGTCCTTCCAGAGGACAAGGGATCCACTCGAGCACTGGTTTCTAATAAAAAAGACAAGGCTGAAAAGAAAGACCTCCCGGCTGACAGCACGCCTATCCATGGACTATTGGGAATGTGCCCAGACATCAACAACTCACTTATTAAAACCTGAAGTCTTTAAGGAATCTCAGAGCGTGATGTCCGCATCCATCCGCGTGTCAGAGTTCACACGGAGCACGCCTGTCACCAGTCCCGGAGGGCCCCCCTCCGGCAGCCTGACCCCAGGACTCCGTCTCATCTTCCTCTGCTCACCCAGCCTGAGGCCTCCACCAGGGCTGGCCGGGCTCAAATCCCCAACTGTGATCACTGAGCTCAGAGTTCGAGTCTTCACACCAGCTCAACCGGCAGCAGCCGCCCGCTGAGTCCTCTGGCACCGCCCCTGTAGGATGGGTCTCCTGTCCCACCTCAGAGGGACCCCGCCCGGCATGCAGAAGTCACTGCCTCCTTCACTGCACTCAGCACCCACTGAGGAACACCATTCCTCCCCAACCAGGAGCCCTGCCTTGGGATCTGATAAGACCTCAAAGCCCTCCCCACCCTCCCTCCCCGCCACCAGGGCCCCCTGGCACCCCGAGCCTGGCCTCTCCCACCCGCTGGGCCAGAAATCCAGCCATTAGTCGTATCTTAGTCACGTCTCTACCTGCAGCGCCCACGCAAGGCCGACCCAGGGGGACGCAGGTCACGGGCACCCTGAGCTGTTTTAAAAAATGGGGGGAGGGGGGGTGCCGCACTGGCGCGCAGGGAAAATACCCAAGAAAACTCTGTGTCTATCCGTTTAGAAATGCCTCCCCTTTGGGGCATGGGTTTCCTGGACTCAACATGCTGGACACAGCGTAGAAATGCCAAGATGACAGGGGCCAACTGAGAAGACTGAGGAGCAGAGACACTGCGTGCATTCAGGCCGACCACACGCACACCCACACCACAGCCCTGCTTCTGACGGGGAGCCGTGTTCTTCCTCAGAACTGAACAGCCGCCGAGTGCGGGGCAGTAGCACCCAAAAGCAGCGCTGCTCTGGTATTGCAGACGCCCATCACGCCCAGATCGGCCCATCAACCGGCTCCTGCAGAGCGCGGTGCCAGGCCCTAGCGGGTTGTCCTGCCTCCTCCTCCCATCGCGTCTCTGACCCTCCCTCCAGACAAGCTTCTGCTCCCAGAAATGACAGCATCCACCGACGCCGGGGCTCAGAGGGCCCACAGGCAGAAACATCCTTCTTACTGGGCCACAGGGAGGTGGCCGGTGACTGGAAACCTCTACTTAAAGGGGGCCGTCTCCGCTCCTTATAGCTGCTCGCGTTACTATTTAATCTCTCCAGGCCAGTTTCCCTTCCTTGACGTGGTGGAGAGAAGCAGAGAACCCGCTCATGGCAAAGGAGGGGGTTTCCCTCTGTGTCAAGCACCGCCGCCTGCTGGTCTTTATTAAACCGAAGTGCCTTGGTCTGTCCGCTGGAAGTGGCCTGGCCACGCCCCTCAAGCCCGCTGGTACCTGTCGGAGCGCCCGCCCTCCAGGCTGTAGCGCAGGTAAGTCAGCCCGTCTAGGAACTGGCTGCTGGGCAGCGAGTCGTCCCCCAGCTCCTTCAGGTCCTCGGGCCGCAGGTACTCCCCGCCGTCTCCGGTCATCGTGTCGTCTCCTAGAAGCACGCGGGGAGAATTACTTGCTGAGTGAGGGCAGCGTGACGAAACCCTGCACAGCAAGGCACGCAGAGCCCATGTGCCGAAGAGCGTGAACACGCAGAGAAACTGCGTCCGACCCGCATCCCCACTCCTCACTGAGGAGAAACCACCACCTGGCTGTAATTCTTTGTTCAGTGTTTTTCCTCATGTCCCTCTCGTGGCAGCTGATTTACAGCCGACGCCAAGTCAACAAGAGGCAACAGCAACGCGCCCCTCCCCCCCCCACACACACACACCAACACGGGCACACAGGACATGCACTGACGCTGCTTGACGGGAAGGACAACCAGCCCGAGGGGACAGAGGCTGCTTCAGGGTGGTGCCCCCTGGGGGCCTCGGGGAGGGCGACTGGTTTGGCGACAGGGGCTTTGTAGCGGTGATCAGGTGATCACTGAGATGCGATCTGAGCTGAGGAACCACTGAGCATGTCCTTAAGGACAGACAGACACGGGACAGCAGGCCCCGCGAGCCGCGGGGCTCAGGGCCAGGGCTCAGGGTCGCTGCAGCCACCGAAGCGGGGAGGCCCCCGAGGGCGCCGGCCCCAAGAGCAGAGGCGGTAAATACGAGCTACCAAGCTGGTGCTCGTCTGTCGTGGTCCCTTCGGAGGTTCCAGCGAAGCTTGCCTGGGGCAGCTCTGGTGGCAGGCGTGGTGGGGGTTCTGGCGAGAAGTGCATGCGTGAGGGTCAGGGGCCCAGAATGGTGTGAGCGCAAGAGGAACACGGGTCCTCTGAGGGCGCTGTGTGGAATAACTGGGCGAGAGGACACGCTCGTGCTGGTGAGCGAGGCGGCCAAGGAAGGAAGCCGGGGTCTGCACGCAGTGACAGGTGGAGCGGCTCAGACATTCATGACAGCCGCAGCCGCAGCCGCAGCCGCATCTGCCCCACTGCCCCCTTCTTAACGTGTAAATCGTGACTAGCAGTGCTTTTGTGAGTCAAGTCAATTGGGAGAAAAAGATTCCAGGATCGGCTCTAAGCATTAGCTTCCCTAAACACAGGTGTTGTCTGGTTTGGAAAGAAGCCTCAGTGGTTTTCAGAGAAACGTGTGTGAGTTTGTTAACATGTGGGAAGGCTTGGTCTGCTCTCCTGATGAAGAAGGGAAGGGGCCAGGGAAGGCGGTCTGTCGCATAGAAGACGCTGTGCTCTGCGGTCCCTTCAAAGTGGCTGAAAGTCATCTACACCCAGTCCTAGCTGCCTTAGGGGGGCATGTCACTCCTCGCCTAACATACTCACCACATCAAACCGTACCTTCACCAACGATTTAACCTACGTTCACTCCAAGCAAACTAACTCAGTTGTTGCTAGCTCAATGTCAACTTATCAAACACCTACTGTTTCTCTAAATTTGTATTCTAAGAAGAAATACTACTTTGGAGAAAATACTCATACAGAGGTCACTAGATAATTTAACTATGTTAGTGAGTCTCAATGATAGTTGCGAAATCATTAATATAGCAGAAGCAAATCATGGCTTTAACCTTATAAGTTAGTAAAATCCACACTCAAGTGCACAATCTCACCTGTATCACACAATCATCTCACCCATGTCACACCCCCTCCCCGTCTCACACTCCCTCCCCATCTCACACTATTCTCACCCATCTCACACCCCCTCCCCGTCTCACACCACCTCACTTGTATTATACATGCTGTTTCAAAAGGAAGTTAGTGTTAGGCACCCAGATTTAAATATTAAGCACGTTGCTTCTATGCAGTTAAGAAAAATTAAAAGCAAAGAAAAGCTTTCACTCCAATAGTTTCCTCTCAAGGTACCTGAGTCACTAAGTACTTCCCCATCAATAACGCGGTCACCAGACTGCTTAAGAGCTGTTCAAGATATGAATGAAAAACAGTGACCCCACAAAACCCAGGGTGGTGCACACATATGAATGCGGAGGCAGCCAATCAATGATCCTCCCTCCCCTCTGAAGCCAATAAAAATCTATTTTAAAAAATGACACAAAACAAACAAACAACCCCCCGCCCCATATGCTAACAATTAAACAACCCCCCGCCCCATATGCTAACAATTGTCCTATCAGGCAGGTATTTTCACAGATGGCCCAGTTCCCAGCCTCTCCCCTTCCCAGGCCGGCTACTTACAAGACAAAAAGGATACCACCAGATGAAAATAGACTAATGGATCCTCCTTCCCCAAATGGCAAATGTCAATGTAACCAAGGTGAACACATGACTTTCTAGTGAAGCCGCTGGCGCTCACACCCACTGCCCGCTCAGCCCCTGAAGACGGGCCAGCTTCCGGCGGGACCAGGACAGATGCCCCAGAGAATGCAGAAAAAGACTCACCCTCTTCGTCAGAGACGTCCAGCACTTCGGTCATGGTCTCGGGAACATTCAGCTTGTGTTTCTCAGTGATAGTCTGCGAAGAGAAAGAGCATTCATGCTTGAAAACAAACTCCCAGCCGACGCCAGGAGCCAAGGGAGCCAGACTCCGCGTCGCCCAAGGCTGTCTGTCTGAAGTTCTTTCTCTGGTTTTCTCTCATGAAAACCCACGTCGTCCCGAGGACAAAAGGCCATGGACCCGCGAGGCACCAGAGAAAGCCCGCTGCTGCGAGTTCCCACTTGAACAGCCAACTCGTTCCCAGTGGCACAAACGGCCAATCGTACGGAGCAGGCGGCTCACCGTGCTCAGGGCCTCCCTGAAGTGAACTCCAGAAAAGCCTTAAAGGAGCAATGAACATATGCAATTTATTAAAAACCAAGCCCAGGGAAAAGACAGGGTAAACCATGTGAAAGACATAGATCGTCTGGGCAGAAAACGGGTCTTCTGGGCCCAGTGGGGGGACGCTGGTCCTCTCTGCGCGCCCTGGCCTGTGTGTGGCTGGTCAGCCTCCCGGCCACGCTCCCAGCTCCCAGCTGCGGGGGGAGGACCAGGCTCCAATGCGAACTTCCCGTCAGCTGTGAGGCCTTGCTAGGCCCTTGCTTCTCCAGGCCTCCATTTCTTCATCTGTGAACAGTGATGACAACACTGCTCACCAGTTGTTATGAAGATCAGATGAGATAGTACATACAAGAGCCCTGAGAAGAGTGGCTGGCATACGTTAGTGCTCACTACACACCCGCTGGCATGAGCCGTTCTATTGTAACTCGGTACTACGGTATCGGACGCTGGAGAGCCGGGGCGTTCGGTCACCCAGGCACCAGGGAAGCAGAGTGGCCACTGTGGGCCAGGAGCTGTTTCAGACACATCCACTGGCATCGTTACGGGAAGTTTAAAATAACGAATCTCGAAATGAGAGTAGAGTCTTCACCAAAAGCCACTGAGACACAGGAAGCAGGTTTTGTAGGGCTTTAAGCTTCACTACACAGATGTTATTAACCTGGAAAAATTATGTGAAAAGTTTAGAAGGTTCCGTTCTCAGCGTCCTGTCTCTTTAATATAATGGCACACGGGATAAGCAAGCATCACAGATGTGGGTGTTCCGGGGGGGTGCACACAGCAGAATGCAGAGTGACGCTCCTCGTGCAGACGGACACCGAGCCTTCTGGGCAATGGACTAGATTCCCAGGAAACGCCCGACTCCGCCTCTAAGGCTGTCGCGGGGGGACAGGCATCACGACATCAGCATCGGCGGCGGCGATCCCGCTCCCGCTGGGAAGAGGTGGAACTCGGAACACTGGCATCTTCTCATCGGCTGCCAAAGAATTCCCCAGCATTTAAACGACAACACGCCATTTCATGGTGGCGGCTTATTCCGTGCTTTAGGCGCTGCCTATCAGTGGTTACACACAGCATAAAAGAGGGTGGGTCACTTTAAAATTATGCAAATAATACGTAGAATTGACAGCTGATCCATAGTGGCCGCCTGGGTTGCATCTCATGTTTCTCCCAGCCGCCTCGGGAGACTGCCTCCTGCTCCACGGCCAGAAACGGGGACCCCCCCATCCCAACACCCCTTCCCACACAGTGACCCCCCTGGGGCGAGCTGCCCCTGCCCCGGCGCCTCACGGAGCAAAGGTTAGAGAAACAGCCATGATTCCAAACGCCTCCGCCACTTGTGCAGCCGAGACTTCTCCTTCCCCAGCGGCTGCCGGACGCCTCTCCCTGCACAAGGGTTTTGGGGGAAGACCTCGGAGGGGGCGCAGCTCAGACACCCACGTGGCTGCTCCAGGGTACGTCCTACGAATCCGAGGCGATGTCTGTCGGCTGTGCAGCTGTTGTTCAACTCTTCCATTGAAGAGGTGACAGCGTAAAATTTAATTTAATTTTATTTTACATAATTATTAAGTTGTCTGTGCTGTTTGCCTGTCATGGTGAATGGCTGTTATTTTAGTGAGTCTGTGGACTTTAGGAAATGATACTGAACATGATGCTTCCGTGAACATACACAAAGGGGCCAGGTAAGAGGGTTTTTCTTAAATTGAAAATTAGGTGAAAAATTTTCTTTCGCAAAATTGACTTTAGGAAATGATACTGAACATGATGCTTCCGTGAACATACACAAAGGGGCCAGGTAAGAGGGTTTTTCTTAAATTGAAAATTAGGTGAAAAATTTTCTTTCGCAAAATTCCTGCGAAGCTCCTTTTAGCAGAGCCAAGCTCTGTGATGCCGGAGGGTTAAGAGCATGGGCTTTGGGATCCGACAAACTCAACTTGAACCCTAGACGCACCCCTGCAGCTCCGGAGCTTTGTTGCGTGTTGGCGTCATCGATGACACTGCTGTGCGGAGGAAGGAATGAAACTCTCGTCCCCAAGAGCAGACGCGCAAGACTTACGTAACAGCGAGGAGTACGTTCATTTTTCAATGCTTAACCCCGATTCCATTTCAGAAAACAATAGACTTGCACCCACGAGAGAAGAACTGACGTGAGAGGCAGGAGGAAACACAGGCGCATCAGCGGTCGCCAACCTTTCGGGCCTCACGGACCAGCAGTGATCCACAGACCACCGGTTGGCAGCCGCTGCATTAGACGACGCGGCCAGGGAGACCCTTCCCCGCTGACCCCGCTGACGCGCATGCCATGGGCCTTGTATTCTTTCAGGGGCTTTCTCACCCGCAGGGCCCCGGGGGTTTTGCTGGGGCAGCACTCAGCTCGGACAGCGTGAGAGCAGCAGTTCCAGATGGAGAAACACTGCCCACAGAACTTTGAGGGCTATCAAGCCCCAGAACTGGCGGTGCGGACTGGCCGTGTCTCTGGCTCACAGGGTGCTGAGCCCCCAGAGCTGGGGGGTGGGGACTGGCCGTGTGTCTGAGAACCTGTGGCCAGTGTTGAGAACGCTGACTGCCCTTGTGATAAACGTGGCCTGTGTAGCGTGGGTCTCTCACTCTGTGACAGAGCTGCCATCTCTAACAATGGACACATCTGACCCACCGTTTTGTTGAGCTAAAGAAGAATTTTTTTTCTTAAAGAACCCATGTGCCACCCTCCAGGCCGGCCACCATGTGGAGCTGCTGCTGGGGGAGGTGATGTCTTCACCGCTGACCACTCCTCAGCACTGGTTTCTACCCAGAAACCCTTCAAGTGGATTAATGAGGCGAATGGAAGGGAAAAAAGCACAAGATACAGAAAACGATGAAAGTGCACCCCTCGCTGGAACCTGATAAAGATGCACACACGGCCCAAGTGCCCAGAAAAGGAGTCGTAAGAACAGACGTGCTTGGCCACCGGGGATGCCCACGTTGCTTCGAAGGTGCCGAACAGGACAAAACTCCCCCCACTGCGGAGGGAGACGCCCGGGTCTGAGAAGGCAGGGAGCAAGGACGGCCACCACAATTCACCTCGCAGAGCGACTCGGGGTGAGTGTGAGCAGAAACGGGCCTGTGTTTCTCCTACGTAATTTCTTGAAGAAACTTCACTTTGAACGTTTAAAAATAGCCCGGCCAGGTAGTTCGGTCAGTTGGAGCCTCCTCCAGTACCTCAAAAGGTTGTGGGTTCGATTCCCAGGCAGGGCACCCAGGTTGCAGGTTTGTCCCTGGTCAGGATGTATATGGGAGGCAACTGATCGATGTCTCTCTCACATCCACGATTCCCTCCCTCTCTCTTCCCCTTTCTCTAAAGTCAATGAAATCATATCCTCAGGTGAGGGTTAAAAAATCTTTAAAAATACTGTGGCACAGGGCACAGGCTTTAACACTGCCCGAGAAAACAAGCGGCGTGACCCTCTGCGTCTGCGACATCGCCTCGCGGCCAGAAATAAACCCGACTTCCCCCGCACAGGACAGGTCCCAGCAGCTGTGCTCACCCACTGCTGTCACGGGGCTGCTGTCGCCCCGGGAACACACTCCTTCCTCCCACCTCCCACCTCCCACCTGACGCACCGTCTGCGCCTGGGCTGTTGCTGGAACCTCCTTCACTGTTCGTATTGGCCGAGGTTTGACCGCAGGGCCCAGTGCTCTACTGTCCACTTAGCCACTTTCCAAATAAGCCACCGAGCTGTTGTCTGCAGCTTCAGAAAAGTCACCAACAAGTCGATGCAAAGAGAACAGCCCTGGGAGGCACCCCAGCTCTGCTCCGCAGGCCCCGGACCCAGGACCCTCGTCCCGCTCTGAGTCCCCCAGCCCTGTGGGCAGAGGCCATGCACCCTGCCCTAACAGACTGTTTCCCTACTAAGCGCACTCAATTCTTTTTGAATAAAACATAGTCAGAGACAGAGAGGACGTGGGGCAGAACGGGTCTCCGGGGAACCTTCAGATCAGCCGTGAGCACCGCAGGGACCAGGGCCTTCCCGGGGCTGCATCCTCTGCTCAAATGAGAAGTTTGCCAGGACTGTCCTGCCCCTCGGCTGGCAGCTGAGGTCACACCCAACCTCAGCTCGAGGGCAGAGGAGCAGGAAAAAACAACTAGGCCCTGTGAACTCACACGCTCCACCGGGATGTGCAAGACGCAGGAGCTCGGCCGCTGCCTGTGAGTGCCCTCCCACTGTGACTCTCCGTGTGCTGCCCAGATTCACCCCCAGATGTTGAGACCGCGGCACAGGATGTGGGGTGAGGGGAGAGGGCGCGACGGGAAAGCTGAGCTCAAGCAGAAGCCCTGGGCCCCTTACTCACTGTCGTGGTGGTGGTGACCTCCTCCGTCACAACCTTCAGAGTGTCGACCACCGAGATGTAGCCCAGCCGCTTAGCGATGGCCAGGGCCGTGTTGCCATTCTGAGAGGGGGGCGGGGGGGGGGGGAGAGGGAGGGAGGCGGAGAGAGGGAGAGAGAGAGAATGGAGCCAGTGAGCTCACCGCCCCAGGAGCCAGCGCCTCCTCCAACGCCAGGCTCAGTGGAGGAAATCACTCCTTTTCACCATCACATCTGAATGTGTCTTGGTAACTTCTCCAGCCTGGAGAGCGGGTCACCATGGAAACACAACAAGCTGCATCTGCCCCTCCTCCTAAGAGAAGCACTTGCGGCTTTAACCCCTGGGTGGTCAGCTCTGGGGGCTGGATGGTGCTGGGAAAGGGAGGCCTCCAGACCCAGCCTGGCCGAGGGCCCGCCTTCCCCAGGACAGGCCGGTTCCGGGAGGGCAGGCCGCCTCGGCACAGTCCCTGTGCGCAGACACCACAGCAAACAGCAGGCCCCTGCGCAGGCCTGAGGAGCCCGGGGTGAATCACACCACCTCGTTTACATCTTAACGGCCCCTTGTCCCAGGAGCCTGTCTGAGCCAGAGGAAGCTGCGGGCCCAGCCTCCAGCCCCCCAGCCGAGTCCACTGTACGCCAGCCGCACGCAGGCTACCCCAGAGCTGGGGCCTGAGGGTGGGGCCCATCTCAGGAGGGGTGGGGACTGCGGCACCCTGTTCTGCTCAGCCTGAGCACGGCTGGGGCAGGTGACACACGGACGCTGTCCTACCTCAGACACCTCGTGAGGAGGCAGGGGCTTTGGAAAAGACAACGATGCTGGCAACAGAGGCAGCAGGAGAAGAGGAGGCCAAACAGGAGGTGGAGGGGCTCACGCAAGAGCCACAGGCTGAGCCTCCAGGCTGCGCAGGGCGGTGAGCTGGGCATCGGGCAGCACCATTCACGGGTCCCCGGGAGTCAGAGGTGACTCAGCAGCACTAACAGAGGGTCCCCCCCACCCTGGGTGTTGGCCGTGGCAGAGGGACCGGGGTGCGGGGGGCCTTACCGTGGTGGTGGCATCGGGCCGCGCCCCATGCTGCAGCAGCACATTGATGATGTGTGTGTGGCCCTGCTGTGCGGCCTGGTGCAGGGGCGTGTAGCCACTCTGGGGGGGAGGGGGGGGGGCGAGGCAGGAGGAGGAGAAGGAGAAGCCGGTCAGTCTGCGTTCAAGGCCATCTTACTTATGACAATGCTGTGTATGGGGGCGGCCGCCCCAGGAGCCCGTTCCCAGCAGCACACACGCCCGCACACCTTCTGCCCCGTGAATAAAGGGAGACAGGCAACTGGCATCTCCGACACTGTTCTGAGCCGGGAGCATGGAAACGTGAGCCCGGGCCACCACGGGGGAGCAGCGGCGGCGAGGAGACTTCCAAGAGCTGCAGGCGTCACCACCACTGTGCCCGGCCCGGGCGGCTTCCCCATGGGTCACTCAGGGCTCACTCTCCGGACCTCGATCTGGAAGTTCCTTCCCCTGAGGGGGTCGTGGGAGGCCCACTCTGACCCACGGTCTTTACATTTGGTCCTGTCCCCACCTGGCCGGGCTCGCCTCCAAGGAAGTGAGGAGCAGCCGTGAGGTGAGCAGGGCCGCCTGGCTCTGGACGTGCTGGTGCAGGGACGCTGGCAGAGTAAAGGGACAGCCCCGTGTCGGGGGACACAACTGGGAACGGGGGGAAGGAGTTTCTTCAGGGCCACGCCACAGCCAGGCCCGTGGAGAAAGTCATGGCAGCCAGAGCTGCGCTACCCTTATCCGCTGGCCTCGCCCGACAGAAGCTTCCACGTCTGTCAGACCCACCGTGTGCTCTGTGCGCTGCGTAGCCGTCAACCATGAACCTGTCAGATTGTCTGTCCCTGCGATATGGTGTCACAGCTGCTTC